GTACCAATAACCATAACCAGTTTAATCGTGGGTAGGAGAATTATCTTTGCATCCATGATCGAATCGTTGAACCATTTATACGAGTTTTTCCTTTGGTTGGATATTTTCTATATTTTGAATCACTCGTTTTATTTTCGTCTCTAGTTAGATTTTATTTTGTTTTAGTTTTCGTAGTTAGATAAAATCTCCAAATCCCCATCATTTTTATTTTTATTTCTTTCACGAATAGTTGCATCGATTCTGTCTAGCCAACCCTTGTGGATACGACCTTGCTTACCACTACTACAGTTATTTTACAAACAGGAATTTATTATTGTTAGATTCGACACCCATCATTTTTCAAAATAAAATTATTGAAAGTATTATTTTCAAAATAAAAATCCGATGCAGCGTTCGCAACTTCCTATGCCTTGAAACACTCACAATCTTTCTTACAACTCTATTTTCTTTGTCGAAAATATATATATCATTGAACAATTTCAACTTTCTGTCTATCCTTCTTCTTCTTGATAATGGAAGACAACTCCCAATCGGCGTCCTCCACATCCACCCTCTATCACATTGCATCTAAGACGAGCTCTCAAAACGGTACACACTTTTTTGATATTTTTTACCTTTTCGACATGAAGTTTCTCTATATATGAAATGAAGGACATAAAGGCGATTCCTTATGTTTAGGCTATAGGAAGCGTAATGTGTACAATTGAAAATATGAGACTGGATATCTACGATTATGATACAACACCTAGAATAGCTCCTTGAACCGACCAAGGTGGTTATCCCGGTGTGGTCGTCTCAAAGGAGCTCAACCTATTTTCATCGCACAAACCTATCAAAGAGTCCACTTAGGTGGCTAAAGGTACAAGTGGCTCAGTCGAGTAGCTCCAAGGTCGAAGAACCTCAAGAGCGCGACAACTCGAGTGGACCTCAAGGCTCGAAGATCGTGGAGATGGAGGTTGTGGTTACGACCTAGGTATAGCTTATGGCAGGTAGGAAGAAAAGTCGTGAGTAAGACCTCAGGACCTAAAAGTCGTGTGGTAAGAGGGGATAGAATCCTTCATGGATGAAAATTGTATCTTGCAGTCTCAAATCCTAGAGACGTGGTAAGTTAGGAAGAAAGATAAGCGAGGATCTCATTTCTAGTGAGGACTCTCTTGAGCATCAAGATACTCTAACTATTTAAGGGTAACCAGGTTCTCTTATTTTACACATCGCATATGTGCACGAAAAAAACATACATATTACCAGTTATCTCACGTGCAAAACACTGACTTGAGCGTCAGACATTTTTCGTCGGGACACCTCCCCTGCAAAATTTATTGGACTTCTAAGCTTGTGGTTGCCCGTTAGATTGTGTTTCCACCCGATTCATGGCAATTGGCACATCAAGTTCAAAGCAATCCTAGACAAACACATTAGTTCATGGTTAAACATAAGATCAAGAGGTTCAAATAGCTATTGGTTGTGCTCGAATGTTATGAATCGATTTACAAGTCCAATCCGAATGTCTTGATTTTGAGTAGCAATACAACGGTTTCCCATATGTATATATTATCGACTAATAGTGGCTTTCTACAGGCTAATCCGGCATATCTCTTTATTCCGAAGCAGGGTTGGAGAAGCCCTAAGACCATCTTCAATTCTTATCTCTACTCTAGTGTAGAGTTTACTCTACTCTAGAGTAGAGCGAAACAAAAATGAAGTTTTTTATCCAACCGTTCGCCGTACATTTTACTCCACGTGAGTTTTTTTCTTTTTTTTTTTTTCAAAACGATAGATTATATAGATAAAAACATAAAATACAACTAGACAACTAGAATAATCCAACCAGCTATCTAACTAAAACTAGCAGGAGACTATCCGACAATGGGAGCCTATAGAGACTACTCTAATGTACCCACAAGACAAACAAACAAACTAAACAAACTAAAACTCCAAAAAATGGAGACTCTAGTTTCTACAAGAGGAGAACTAACAATAAAAACAAACACAACAAATACAAAACTACAACAAAACACCAAAAAACAACACAACAACAATACACAAACATAAAATATAATAACACCCTCTTGTCCACAGGAGAAACGAACTGCAGCGCACCACGACCTGACACCCAACGACGGTCGCCCACTCAAATAGGATTCCAACTTGAGCACTACTCCAGAAACTCCAGTGTAGCCACAACTTGCTATAACCGCTCCAGACGACTAAAATCTTCACCTAGACGGATCTCCCCTGGAGTTGAACTCTCAAGCCCGACCTACCAACCACCCAACCACCAATAATCCTCAAACCATCAACCAACCACCCAGACACCATCAACCCACGGCTAATCAACCGTCCAGCCCGGACCACCAAACCCAAGAAGATGGTGAAAGGAGAGAAGAGAGAGCCATACCTCATCCCCGACCAGCTCCGATGGGACTGATCGAAACCCGTCGGACGCCACCGGTCGGACCCCGGGTACCCTTAACCGCGACGAAGGCGCCTTGAAGTTCGGCGAGATCTGCATCCGGGGGAGATCCATGGCTCCAAAAGGGGCAAACCATGCGGACAACGGGGGACGACATCGGGCCACGCAGAAATCTCTGCGAAGAGGAGGCGGCTGCAGACAATAATGAACTGCGCGAGAATTTGGGGGAATAGGGTTTTGGGGGGAAAAGTTTGGCGCGGACAAGACAAATAGATTTATTCACTCCACATGTATTATTCATCTTATTTTAAATTATTTAATAAGCCAAAATATGTTTAATTGGATATATTATTTTATAAAATAATTTTTTTTTGCGATGCTAGCTGGTCTGCTACTCGTTTGAAATATTGTTGGACAAAGAATAATAATTTTTGTATATTATTGATTCATTTTATAGTAATTCAATATAAATATATATTTTTTAAAAATAATTTTTCACATAATTCTAAAATTAAATTTAAAATTAATAGTACAAACTTTAGCAAATAATAAATTTAAATTAAATCAAATACATACAATATAAAAATAATAAAAAATAAATAAATATTATAGTGTAATAAATAGTACCATCGGTTCATTGGAGTAGGTTGATGCCTCAGTTGACGGCCAATAGATGACTCCGTTGAGAAAAAAAAGTTCACCCGCTGTAAAAACAAAAATAACCGGGAAAAATGACTCGCTTAAACGTACCCAAACCGAACCTAAAATGCGCCGCGCGCCAATCGGCGTACAATATGTGTCAGCCAACGAGAAGCCGTGCGCACATCACTAGCGTGCGCACAATTCGTCTTCTACTGTTCGTCAAGTGTCAATTTCACCCTAATAATTAAGCACTTTACGTACATACAGACACACATATATATTCGTATTCGTATCTGTATTTTTTCCATATAATAATATATTCATCATCAAACGAGAAAAAGAAAAGATATTCTCTATGGCCCTTTTTCTGTAACAGTAGAATTTATTGGGCTTTTTTTTCTTTTGTTATTATTTATAATAAAAATAGGCAACTGGCTGTTGCTGCCCTGAGCTTTTTCTTTGGCTGTTCAGTTCTTCCGAGCACGCATCACACAGAGGTAAACAAACCCTTTACTCTGCTTTGTATTTTTCTTCTTCTCTATTTTCTCTCTTTAATTTGCAAGGTTT